CAGATGCAAGGAAAGCCAATTTCCCAAAGCTGGCTGGAGCTCTGCCTGCCCCAGCTCTGAGGAAACAGTGCTTGGAGGGGATTTGGGGCCAGGAGCTTCTTTGTAGGTGGCCATGGTTGGGGCTAGCTCAGTGTGATCAGTTTGGGGCAGTTGCCAGTGGCTTTCTCGCAGGGAGGTCTGGAAAAGACTAACAGGGTGCTGTTGGGACATCTCATTGTCACTCAAAAAAAGGCCTTGAGGCTCTCCTGGCAGGTTGCATGGGAGTTGTAAGAGCAGGGTGAAGAGCAGTGCCCAGACCCATGCTGCGTATGGCAAGGTGGCCATGAGAAAGGGGCCCACACACCTTGCCTGAGCTGCTCCTCAGCTCTGGGGTGCGCGAGTGGGCAGGGAGACATTTCGCTCCCCAATATCATTGGTCTTCTCCAAACTTTCCCTTAATCTTCTGGAAGCACAAAGACCAGAACAGCACAAAGCTCTCAAGACTTGGGTGCACAGTAACTTTAGAGAGGCACCAGGATGTTTTCAATTTTAGTCCTTTCCTTACCATTCCAGATACACAGTTTGCCTCTACTGCTGCCAAATGTGGAGATATTTGGGTGGGGATAGCTCCAAGCTCTTCCACTCAAGTGGCAGGGGCCAGCTCAAAGCATGTCACCTGAAAGGCAAAGTTCAGACTCATTTTTCCCCTTACACGTCCTTCAGTACATACTGACTTTCATCCATCATTTGCACTGTCCACTTCCAGTTTTGTAAGAGCTTTTTGCAGTTCCCCAATCAACCTTCCCCTTTAGCATCCTAAATAAAAACAAAGGGATGGTTTGACAGCAGACAGTTAATGACTATGTTATCCAGCCTGGGTCTCCTGGCATGCCGCCAGCAACCTCCCTTCCTAGAGAGACACCCTCTCTATTTCCCAGCTTTAATCACCTAATTACCTGTAGGAGGACATTGCCTTTTATGCCATAGCTCTTAAGTTTTCTTAGAAGCCAGGGGCAATATAGAACAGTTCACCCTTACCTATGTGCTTTTTGAGTCCTCTGAAGAGGTTTGTGAGACATGATCCTCCTCTCCAGCAGCCCTGTTGACTCTCGACAGCTAATCAATGCATTAATTGTATCCTATGGTATAGTTTCTAGTTGTTTAGCCAGTACAGACACCAGATACAGACATTGAGAAAGCCCCTGAAGGCTTTCTTTGATGTCTTGTGGAAAGGTGGTGCAGCTGCCCTGGTCCAGGAGCTGCTTGTGAAGCTCTTGCTTGGGAGGATGCAAAGCCTTCCCATACATTAACTGCTGTGCAGCTTCACACCAACCACTTACCTTGCCTGGACCCCTTAATCCACACGCCAGTGGATTTAATACCACTGTATTAAAGGCAGAAGGTTATGAGAGGTTGTGGAGAAATTACTGGCTGAATTCTTGGGAGGTGGAGCTCATAAAATAAAAGAGATGTTTAATGAACAGGGTGCTGGGCAGAGGAGTTCAAATAAAATATAGGAATGTGCATCACCCAAGTTTTTGTCTCTAAGGCTGATGAAGGTGTGATAGGTGGAAGCAGCTACATCCAGGAGCATCCCAGCCAGGGAGCATCAGCTGGCTCCAGCAAGGGAGCAAGGCCCCAGCAGAACTCAAGGCACAAGCAAGGTGGGAGCCAGGACAGTTGTTTTTAGATGATTTACAGACTTAGAGGAGGAGTAGTGGAATGAGCTCATTTATCTGAAATTAAAACAGTGTGACAGAAGGGCAAGAGGAATTGCATTAGACTAATTTTGTTCTTTGTAAATACAAACAATAGCATGTTATTTTAGAATAATTCACCTTCGTAATAGTATTGCAAGATACTCAGCATTTGAAAACACCTACCACATAGCAACACTTCCCAGACACCAGTGAAGCACCATCAGCTCTTGAGTAGGCACAGGAAATATGGGCAGTGGTCTGACGGTTCAGTCAATCCACTTTTAGGTTTTCTAATACGAACTCAGAAGTGGTGAAACCCCATGAGAAAGAGTGAGTTCATCCTGGATCAATGCTATCAGTTCAAACAGTTTTATTGAAAAAAAAAATCAAAACCCAAACAGTTTCCTTTGAAGCAGCAGGCTTTACCCCCAGATCAGGTGCCATCTTGTCTGTACATCTAACCTCCTGCCAGAGCAGCTACAAGCCATCCTTCAGCAGCAGGCATCCAGCCAGCAAGGAACGTGCACTGTGCAGGGAAAGGCAACCCACCACTCCCGCCTGACCCAGATCTCATCCATCTTACAAGCAGAAGAACAGCACAAACCTGCTGTTATGGTGGGGCCACAGACAGAGGCATTGACACAGTGACTAACTTCACTGAGAAAGTCAGGAAAAAATAGGGCAGAGACTCAGATATCTTACTGTATGTCAAAAAGTGAATGCATCTTCAGTTTCTAGAGCTTCAACAAGCTGAAGTAGGTCGAAGACTCACAATTGTGTCAGAAGCACTCAAGTCACTCCTCCTCCTCCCCCCTTCGACAAACAGAACTGACACAGCCAAGGTAGATCTCTAGAGTTGTAGTATCTGTTCCCGTCGATCAAGAGAAGCAGGAAAGGAAGCAGTCACTACCTGCAGATCTGCTCACACCACAGGGGCTTGCGGATGCTTAGCACTGAATGCCCAAAGGAATGACAGACCTGGTCCTGCTCACCTTTAACTCCCAGGGACAGTTCACTTAGAGCCACACATCAAGAAAAATGAAATCTCAAGGAAATGAATGGTCAATGAATGACCATCTGTGCCAACCTCTGCCAAAGGCGTACAGGGCTGCTCAGCTGAAGGACCTTCTCCTGCACTGATCCAGAGTCAAAAACAAATGAAGGAAGGTGCAGACTCAAGGTGGGGTCATGCCTAGCCTATCTGAAGGAACATGGGAGCAGGACAGGTTTGCAGACACAAGCTATCCTCATTTGAAATGGAAAGAGAAATAATTAGAGAAGAACACAACGTCTTTGATATTGGAAGGACTGACCAGCAGATGCAGGAAGTCTATGTGTTTCCACCCCTTATTTAAAGTATCTGCACTAACATGCCAGAGGTCTCAGGCCACTGTGCCTTATTGGTCCAGGGTTTCTGCTGCTTCCAGTGGTCTCTTAAAATGTCTCCATGTGACTAGTCCCAGCCGAACAGCAAAGATCAAACAAGTCATTGCCAGCAGCACAACTAGGAAAGAAACACAGAAGCGTGTTAGCATGTGAGAGAAAGCAGTGCCTCTTGTCGTACCTGAGGTCCCAGTATGGGAAGCATAGGAAAAAAATAACCTTCCCACTATAGGAGCCATTATCCCCACCATCAGTGCTGTATTTCAGAGTTCCACTGTTACCCAAACTCATCGAATGCTTCCAGGTCAAGGTGTGTCTAGAAGGGGGAAGCTTCATGGGCACAGGAAAAAAAATGCATTACATTAACAAAACAGTTCAAGAATAGTTGAACTATATAAAGAAACACTTACTAGTTTGGGAAAAGCACATTCTTGCCCTACCAGACGAGCTAGCTGAACCACTAAGAATGAAGTTTTGCTGGTAGAAATGCACCTAGTGCAGGAACACAGCTGTCAGCCAGAGATCACACATACCTTCACATTCCTGGTGGCGATAACCACCAGGAGATGAGTCTCCAGTGCCCTCATGCCTTTGGCAGACAATCTCTGCTAAGTTCTGCTGGATGCTTTTAAACATTACCAGGCTCCAGCTGCCCTTACGGCACAAAGGAACACATACTGGAGTGGCTGTGATGGTGGTGCCAGTCCAGAAATGTGGCCTTTAGCCACTGGTACACAGTAGTGGGAAGGCAGAAGGGTGGGAATGTGCTCCCTTCTGTTGACTCTATGGTGGGAATAAGCATCCCAAACTGCTAGAGCAGGATTCAGAGTTCACACAGCTCAGTCCCTTTCATGCCAGCATAAAACTACTCATAATGGCATAGCTTGTGCCAGACTGTGATTGTACGGTATTGGGACAGCTTAAGCCCTTTTACAATGGATGACTACACTCAACTCAGCTACAGTGGCCTGCAGCAACCAAATAATCCCAGGAAAACTTGTTAGGGCTAGCCTGAGCTCTGCATAGGAGAGGAGCATGCACAGGGTTTTGTATTGTGAAATTTAGATACAACCCCTCCTTGGGTCAGAGACTTATGTGCTGCTTCTGTATCCTAAATGATATAGGGTAAATGGAAGTCCACAGCCTTGATCCCAGCCCTGCTCTTCCTTTGGCCTGCCCTGCATCAGCTGGAGCTACTAGCAGAAGACCCAAGTGGATGATGGAGAATTGCAGGGTAAACATTGCACCAAGAAGTGAACTTGAGGCAACATAAGGTTTGAATCCAGCCCCAAGACTGGTAGGCAGTGATTTCTGCTCTACTTTTTAGTTTGTAAAACGAATACTGTCTAATAAATCCCTAGTTCTGCTTTTTATAAATAGCACTTTTCAAGAGGCAAGTTTTCTGCCCATAATACACAGGAAAGATGTAAAAGTGTTTACTGTCCTTCTTTTGCAAGGGTTGGAAAACAGTCCAAAAGACTCACCTATAAAAATGCTGTTTGTTGTTGGGGATGACAATGAGAAGTTCTTGCATGCACTGCCGGTCAGAGCTATTATGACCACTGGGTAGATCGTAAGGTTATAGCGGACATACTTGTCAAGGAAGAAGTTCTCTAGACAAAACCTGTGAAGAAAGAGTGACCAAAGTATTTTCTCTGTACATTTTTTACCTATAGAATGTTTAAGAAAGGAATTAGACAAAGAATGGGTTTTTTTGCAGGCCAGTTTGGACTAGAGTACAAACTTGTTAATTTACTAAATTTCAGAAGATTAATTAAAAAATATCTAAGGTAAGTTTAGGGAAAAATAGAGCTATGTTTCATGTTTTCCATATCAAGCCTTCATCTGCAAGCCTAGGGTGGGTTGAGCTCATGTGAGCCACAGCAGCCTGTTCCTGGCTCACAGCATGTGCATAGTGGCATCACCGATGGTCAGGGAAGAAAAGCTCAAACAGGGTCCCTGTTTATCTGCCATGAGTTATGAAAGAGGCCTTTGTACTCAGTATTTGTACAGGGACAGACTATGAATGAATTGGCACAGACAGTCCAACCCACTTGTGAGAGGCAGAAGGGGTATTTCAGGCTTGATAAGAACTGAACCCATGAGGTTTCTTACCATATAACTATGTCGAGAGCAAGGATGCTTAGAGAAGCAGTCGTCGCCATCTCATTGGACACGTTCCACTTGTAGATCAACACAATGGCAAAGTTCAGCAGAGTAGCGATGGTGGTCCATGTTGCATACAGTGCCAGCCCATTCTGGACCTGCCATGTAACACAGCAAGATAACAACCAGTGATAAAAAAGGTAGTTCCTGTTCATCTTTTGTGACCCATAGGTCCTGGGGCAGTTAAGCCAGCCTTCTGAACCAAGCTATGGGGGAAAGTCCCTCAACATGGAGAGGAGCTGAAGCCCTAGATTCCCTAAAGTACCTTGGAGATCCACCCCAGTGGCAGCTGCAGAATTCCCTGTACAAAGCCCTGCAACCCCAGCAGGAGATTCCCTTCTGCACTCCAAAGCACATGATTTGCCTGGCTGTCCAGCCCAGTCGGGCTGATGTAACTGGAAGAGAACTTTTTTTTTTGAATCTCAACCACCTCCCAACAAACACCTTCTCTACATGGAGCCTGCAGCAGGCAACATCAAGGGCTGGAGTCACTCTTGAGTGAGGATGAGGAACTCAGCTATTTCCAGTTTCTTGCATTATACTGGTATCTCAGGAACTGAAATACAAGGGTGTGAAGAACAGTACCCACTCCCAGTTCAAGTCAAGAGATTTAGAGACATTTCTAGCAGAGTCAACAGGAACTTTCCTGTGCAGAGACTCCCAGTTTTTCAGGCTCCCCTTCACTGAAAACCCTCCTAGCATCTTGGATGTGCTTTTTTCAGCTGACCCACTTTCTCACTGAGCAACAACAACATCAAGCAAAGGAACCAAAGGTGTTTAAAGCAGACACAGCAGCTATGGGAGGAATGGCAGTGTGAGGTGTCCTGGATGGGGAAGGAGGGATTGGGGTAGCAGGTTTGAACTAGGAGGGAATTAAGTGATGGAATATGAGTACAGTTATCTTATTTGCCTCTTTTTTTTGCCAAATACACACCCACTTTTCTCAGGGACAGCAGAAAAGTAATTTTCTTCCAGAATTTGGCAAAACGCAAAAAGGCAGCTGCATTTGAAACCTTGAGCAGTGTACACTTCCCCATATAAGAAGCAATTTTTTGAGTCAGATATCAGGGACATAACCATCAGCAATGCAACAGTAGCCACCCTTAGCAATGGCTTCCCTCCCTGCAAGAAATATTCTTCTCTCCACCCCAAACAGAAGCCTGGGCTGAAGTTTTCATACTTCACTGAAAGCTTCATTCCATAGTAGCTGGAGAAGTATGAGGGATATACCTTGCTCTGAACCATTCCCATGATGTTTGATAGCAAACTGAGGTGCAATTAAGCCTGTGCATACCTGTAGCCATACCTGCAGCAGGTACAAGTTAAAGTCTGGGCAGAAATGCTCCCTTGCCCATCTCTCCTGCCATCAATCTTTCAGTTTTGATACCTTCAGTATAGTTGTTTGATTGGGGTTCTGGGGTTTGGGGTTTTTTGTTTTATTGGGATGGGTTTTTTTAGTATTTACCAACAGCACAGCTTCCCAAATGACACTTACTAGGATGCGGGTGAGCCAGAGCTCAGCTTTGTGACCCTTCACAAACCACGAGGAATGGATGCTCAATGCTTGGTGTGAAATGAAGAGGGCAGCACACGTGGTAAGAGTGAGGGCTGTCAGGAACACCAGGGCTGGCAGGAGATGTCTAGGACAAGGAATACATTCATCCACACAATGTATAATACTTTTTTTCAGCGACATCACAACACCTTAATTCATAGCTTTAACATCAGGCCTTTACTGACTTTAAGTTAATCATTCTTTAATAGAGGTAATCACTACCCGTAGCCCTCATTTTGACATACTACTGGTTTACTCTGTTAATCACAAAGTTATTATTTTCCTGGCTGCAACTGATTTCTTCACCTCTTGACAGTGGTGCTATTATAAGCCCTTCATGTGACCATGATTATGAAAACGATCTGAGGCAAGGAACTCAACTATTTATGAAGAGAGGTATGACTCCTGTCTTACTTGTGGAGGTAAAAACAGAATAGCAGCTTTGAGGAGATCTTACACATCAATAACCAGTTCACCTCATGAGCAAGATGAAAACATTGTACAAAACCCCAAAACTTTCATGAAGTTTACGTTTTGCCAAGGCCTGCCATAGAGTTTTCCAGGTGTGATTAATTGTTCATGCACAAGGGAACAAGCAAAATGAAGCATTGGAACAGTCCCAACAAGAGGGTTAGAAAGTGCTTGTAACAGAAGGTGACTTACTCTCGGTCCCACAGAAACAGCCACCCAACATTGAGGCTATTATTCAGAATCCATGCCACGTAAAAAGGTATTGGCAGCAAGTCTGGCTTTATGTAGACACATCCAAGTTCATTCCTGTCAGGAAAAAGTAGGTATGGAGAAAGGAAAACAATGCCTGCATTTACCAAATTTTCCTGCCCTCATTTTCGTCATATTAACAGAGACTCTACACTGGAGTTAAATATTTTGGCTTAAATCAGACTATTTCTCCTCTGCATCCTTCTGGCACAATATAGTCCCTGTGGCTGTCCCCATCAGGACGTTGTCTCACAGTATAGAATGTCTTGCTGGTCTCTGCACCACCACAAATTCAGTGGGTGCTAAGGACTGCTTCACAGGTGCTGCAAAGCTTGTGCCACTGGTGGTCATAGCAGTGACATGATCATGGAATTTTAGCCCTGTTCCTGGGGAAAAAAAAAGGCTTATGGGATCATAATGTGACTGCATATGTAATATATGTATTTTATGTGCACATACATGCATATGAACTTGATCACTCTTGTACAAATACATACTCCATTCTTCCCTCAACCTTCAGTGTTGGCCAGTACCAACTAAGCAACTTCTTACAAGTCATGTGAAAACAGCAGATACACAAGACTTGAACTAAGCAGTCCATGGTCCCCCTTCTATCCCACAGAAGACATCACAGAATAGTACAGACACTGCATGGTACTGCATGAGGCAGCTATTGATCTCACAGCCCCAGGAAAACCTTCAAGTCCAGTTCAATGGCCCAAGAGACTTCCCAATGCCAATTCTCTGATCTCTAACAGCAAGTAAGCTCAAAGCATTAGCTCCATAATTCATTAATTCTGCCCCTATGGATTCTCAGCATCTAGCAGTGGGTAAATGCTGCCACTGGGTAACTGTCAGATCCAATGAATCAGTGGAAACCAGGACTTACAGAACAGTTACATGCTTTGTAAGCTGTCCACACATTAGAGCAGTTCGTATACATCCCCAAACTGCTTCCCAGCTTTGGATGCTGAACCTAAAAAATGCTCCAGCAGCAGAGCTTCATCGCATCAAGATGAATGGCAGTGGTTTTACTCTAACTAGAAACACTGGAAAGTGGTGTAAGAGACTGAGCTACAGAAGGGAAGAGCCACTGTCCCTCATCTGTACCATAAGCAGATAAAAATACCTTCGACAGATCCCTGACAAGGCGTAGAGAAGCCAAGCAAGCTGCCAGGCATAGATGACATTCCAGATGAGGAAAGTCCAGCCAGCCGGTGTGAAGTCAGTGTTGTACTTGGCTGAGATGTTGCCAGGGGTCGTCCTGAACAGACCTGCAGCGGTGAGTGTTATTAAAGGCAAAAGTGTTACTACATACCAAGGATGGGGAAAGACTGCTGATTTCCCTCACTTTGCAATCTTCCTCAAGGCTTAGCCCACACCTCAGCAGGTCTGAGGGAGATGAGAAGACGCCCTTGGTGAAAACAAGCCATGTGCTGCAGTTGGCTTGCCTTTATCCACCCATTATGGGATCACCGTCCCTATGGGGAACCCTGAGCACCTTCCCTCTTGCACAGAACCAGAAAAAGCCAGTTGCCTGTGAAAGCCAGAGAGAAGCACAATGTCCATTTCTGACGGATTCAGCTGGGTAGCATTCAAACCAAGAGCCACTGCCTTCTGTAAATCCACAGCAGCAGCCACCTGAACTGCTTCCAGCAGAGATACAAGGACAGTGTATGCAAAGGCTGCCTTTCACCCTCCACTAGATCCATGTTGACCAGGGACAAGACCATTTACTTGGATTTCAAGGAACTGGATGAGCCTCAGGCACTTGGCTGTAACACCTGAAAGATGCACCAGCTACTTCCATCTTTCACAGACCAAGATGTATTTGGAGTAGCAGTGAGGTAACAAACAGATCTACCCCATCTAAGGCACCTTGCATCATTAGATGATACCACACCTGAAATCCACCTCTGAACAAAGACAATTTGCTTACATTACCTTTGATTATTCCAGTAGCATTTCCAGCATTCAGTATCACCATGATTATGAAAGTAGCCAGAGATAGAAACATCACTAAAATCTTCAGCTTGTGTATAGTAGCCATTTTACCCTGCAATAAATTAGAGATATTGTTTGGCTGTCCTAATGTATGCCTGGATTTGTTCCATGTCCCAGAGACTGTTTTAGAAATAATGTAAATTCCCTAGTTCTGACTGCAGACTTATTTGTGGTGTTTTCATCAGAACTAAAAAGGCTTTGCATGAGCTAGGAGCATCTTTGTTGGAACTAGCATCCTCTTGACAGCAGTCAGTGTCAGCAGCCCAGAAAATAGCCCAAAACCAGGGCAAGCAACTGATACTTCCCCAGAATACTCTTCCAGCAGCTCAAGGATTTCTAGTAGTGTCTTTAGTGGACTCTCATGGGGTTTTAAGACTGTAAACTCTCCAGATCCTTGAAGTAATCCAATGATCTGGGGAAAACCTGTCATGATGTCTGAGGTTCTGTTAACAACTCCTACCAGCCCCTAGTACTGTAACGGCTGAAGACCCCCATACAAGTTTCAGATGGAGAAAGAACAGTATGAACACCTGGGAGGGCTGCCTGGATTCTGGACAACCCTGACCCACAGAGGCAAAGAGGCCTTAATAGGTTGCAGAACTGAAATGGGAAGCCACAGAGTGCCTAGCCTGCTCCCCCACCACCCACCCCAAACCCATTGCAAAGGTTTTAAGGTCTAAATAATTAGTGAGCAAGAGTAAAAGTGATTCCAGTTTCTTACATCACTATTGCAGTCTTACTGAAGCAAAGCAAATCAAATTTTGCCTGCTCTGGGAAGGAAATATGAAAACATTAAATACTTGGCTTCATAGCCAAGTGTCTTTCAGTTCACTATAGCTTTCCACATTTACCTCTAATCCTATAACTCCTACAGAATAATAACTTCTTTTCATGGTGGTATTACCTCCTCATTTACCAGCTGCAAATAAGATTTAAATGCTTTAGTAGGTCTCAAGAACTTTATAGACTGTAAAAATCTACATACTATGTTTTTTCCCCCCCAAGGTTTATAAGCAGTGATTTGAGCTCTCCCAAGTGATCTCCATTAGTCCAGCTTTTATTCTATCAAGGAAAAGTTTTGCACCATCCACAAGAAAGAGCATACACATATCCATGCTATAGGCGACAGCACTTGAGCTACCTTCTCTATAAAATGGCAATTCAATGCCTTCCAGGGTTGACAGGAATAATAACCGAGTTGTTCCAAGTTGCTCAGCATTGAACTAATAAATTCCATTTCCCACTTCAGTGGATTGTTTTATAGTTCCAGGCTTTGTCTGTGGACTGAGCTACATCCAGATACATCATAAGGAAGTGGGAGGGGAAATTCTGGTTTCTGTAAATCCGTACAAACTTTTCTCTTTTCAGTTCCATCTAAACCACCCTTTATTTTTAAGTAAAAAGCATATGTGGAAGAACTCATTTAACTCAAGATATCAAAGCCCAATTAGATTTATGTCAGTCAAATCCCAAAACAAAGTATTGTCTTTAACAGATACTCTGAATTAGCAAATTCTGAAAAGAAAAATTCACTTATACTGTTAAAAATATAATTTCTGACTCGAGAACTGACCTGTAGTTTTCTGAAAGCCAGGAAAGTATAGGAGAAGAAATATCACTGTACACTTGTCCTATTTTTATATTCTTTCCTTGAACATCGACTTTTGGCCACAACAAACCAGTACGTGGGACTGGATGGTCCTTTGATCTCCCTGTTAGGCCAAATCTATGTTCTTCTGACAGCCCTGCAATTGAGTTCAGCACCACATTTCTGTTTTATTAGCATATTCGAAAGAGACTTGATTACACAGCTTCAGAGAAACCCACACTTGCTTACAGAAGCTTAGGAGGAAAGCTTTATTTTTAAAACCGCTCAATAGTTTCACTACTGGCTCTCACCTCCTGCCTCCCTCTAATTTATTGCTGGCAATAAATGTCTGCAATATTTCCCTGCCTGCAGTTATCAGCCACAAACCCCCTTTAGAAGAATCAGAAGCGTTACTCACAAGGATCCGCACAGGCTTTTTGGCAGCGTCTTACAGATGTGGTTCAGCTGCCACCAGCGCCGGGGAGTATCTGCTGCTCAATCTTATCTAAAGAGATTTTATACAACTTTCAGCAGCTGAATAATCATGCATTATTTAATAATAAAAAAATCACAGTAGTTAGATGTGCTTTCTGTCTGTCTGCAGCCTCCAATTGGCTAAAGCCTTTGAAAAACAAGCACTTATGCAAGAGAAACGTGGTTACTTAACGAGGGCCTTTTATAACAGTCAGAGTAACACACGCTCCCTACTTGTTGACAGGGAAAAGTCAATGAGTGCAGGCTCTCAGGCTCTTGCCTGCTTCATCCTTCCCTATCCCTGCCCTGAGGAGGGAAACCAAGGGCTCCAGTGCAAAATATCCTGTCTCAAAACCATAGCTAAGGCAGCACCCCTGCATTGGAGTGGGGACGTTTGCAGGGGTGGCTGCAGAAAGAGCCTGGATTTGGGGTCTGGGGAAGCTGGAGGCATAACATATAGCAAGGTCTGGATGCTGGGAGCAGCTATAGATCTTCCTATAGCCCCAGAGGGAACTGAAAGCTGCAGTCCTCTCAGGACTTGGCACTCAGGGGACATTTTATGGTGTTAAATATTGTATAGATACAAGTAACTTCTCTTGCACAGCAAGCACGTGTATCGTAATCCTGCATTTTCACACTTCACATCTATTCCTTGCAGTGCAACGCATTCTCTGCTGAAAATCCCTGAACCTGGCCTCAAAGCTGGTGCTTTTAGTAATTCCTAGATCTGAAGGAGTCTAGAAACCCCAGCGAGAACCTTCCTGATGTCAGAACCAGAGAGGAAGGGCAGGTGAGAAGATAACCCCAAACCTGAAGCACTAAATGAACTTTTCCAAGATTTTTTGTTTAAGATAGTTTCAAGCATATTGCACAAGTAAATTTTTGTTCACAGATATAGAAAAGGCTCCCACCCCTTATTGCAAGCTGATCCTACAGAAGCAGAGCAAGCCACATTAGCCAATCCCTGCCTGCATCTCTGCTTGCTTCAGGACTGCGGTCTCACCACATCCAATCCTTTCATTTTATATTTCTTCTTGTTTACCCTCAAATTTAAACTACTATAGCCAATTAAAAATATCTTTCAGTGTCAAAATGTTATTTATCTTGTGCAAGTACAGTGCCCACAAGCAGTCCTACTAGGGACTCCCCCATGTCAAATATAAAGACAGTGAATAAACTAGCACCTATCCTCACCCATCAGAAGCAACATCACAGGGCTGGGAAAGAATCTTCCTGGGGCTTCCTCAGCCTTTGGGATAGGGGGACAAAGCCTACATGAACATGGATTTGCCAGCTGTGGGGAAGGGCAGGTCCTCCAGCCAGCACTGCTGTTATCTACCTTATCAGTGTAGGTCTGAGGTCCACCCTTTGAAGGTATTCTGATGAGGAAACCAGTGGCTTAAGTATGATTATTTCATATCAACCAGACAATACAGTATGCTCTACACACTGATCACAAACAAGAACTGCTTGTACATAACCTATTCCTTCAATAAAACCAAGGCCTGAGCTCACAGCGTGGTGGCATCACCATCTTTCTGTCCTTTTTTCACTTTGTGTATCCTCTCAGACATGTACACAGAGACTCTCCCCATGTCCTAGAAACTGCCGTTGAGTTACAAGTTTAAAAGCAGCGTTACAGCAAGTATGGGCTGAAACACAGGCAGAACCATTATGTGCACCATACAGCCCTCTTAGTATATTAAGATCTACAAAGCACTTTTTCCACACTGGACCATGTCTTATTTATGGTCCACTCTATGTATATTTTAGTGAATATAGGAATATATATATTTTTCACTCCTCACATAGCCCAAATGAGCTCAGCACGACATCAGACATCACATTTTCATCCAACAAATGGGCGGTTTGAAGTTCTTTGTACAGACAACTTTATCTTACACACACCTGTTAGGCACAGCTGATCAGCAAGGCCCACAATGATCTAAATTCAGGGCAGGTTCTACATGTGGGAAACATTGGCCAAGCAGGAGAACAAACACATGCTTTGCTGTCTCGTGTTTTTGCTAGTTATTTTGTGATGCATCTGTCTCAATTGCAGTGAGACAATTGGAAGCAAGGCCACCATAGTGGTGTCCCAGTAAGCCAGGCAGAAACTTTAGGCCCATGATCTGAGTTTCAAAAGTTATTTTTTTCAGAATAAACTGCAACACAGGCCTTGGATAAAATATTCAAAT